TGGATTACTGTGCGCCTGGAGCCCTGCGAGGCCCACAGGGAGCTGCAGCACTGGGAGTGCCGGGCAGACGGGCTGCTGGCCCTCGCCAAGGAGAACCTCTACTTCAACTATGGCAACAACCAGAACCACGTGGTGATGCTGTACACGGGGGACGGGCCCTGGAGCCGTTGGGTCGTCTATGGGAGCCATGAGGACCTCTGCTTCTGCTCCTCTCATGGTGAGTTCTGCAGGACCCACCTGGCCCTATGGCCTTCACCTCAAACACGCCAGCCAGTGTCCCGCCCTGCCCTAGCTCCAAGCCATGACGGCGCTGCCCAGGTACCTGATGGAACCTGCCCAGCAGTGCTAGAACAATTTGTATAGTGGGAGTGCTGACAGCCATTGACCCAAACTGTAAGCCCTATATATAATGGACACCACTTCAAGCCAAGGGGTGCGGCCATACCCCCCCAATATCCCTAGTTCCAGCAGCTATGAACCTGCCCCACCCACATTCTAACCACCAGACCCCCACACTCCCATCCCAAAGCTGGGAACAGAACCCAAGAGTCCCATCTGGGATCATCCCACCCCACAGGGTTTTGGGACTCCTTTTGCTGAAAATGAGGACAAGGCCCATTAATGGCTGCCTTGTCTCAGGAGCTCCTGTCCCATGGGCAGGGCCTTCATGTCCAATAGTTGCAGGCTGTAGATCCTCCCTACAGAGCTGTGTTCCATTGTAAATGTGACCCAGATGTTACAGATATCTGCCTGAGTCTGCAGAGAGCCTGAGATGTTGGCTCTGAGAAGCGGGGAGCTGCCCCTGTACCAGCATGTGTGGCTCCATCTTAACCCAAGAGGAAGGGGGCAGAGAGCAGTGCATGCTGGGACCTCTAGTCTCTTTAGGCTGCATCTCCACGTTAAGGTTTGCAGGGTCTTTGCTCTAGCCTCAGGTGCCAAGAGGAGCAGAGACCTGCTGGCGAGCACCAGGGAGTAGGCAGGAGAGGCAGACCCAAGAACACTGGCTCCCAGTCCTCTAACTGCTGGGCTTCCCTGCTAGTCTCTGCAGACTGCCCTAGATCCTGAGGCTGCCCAGATATTCCCCTGCCCCACCCTCGATGACTAACATGGTCCCTCCTCCCTTTCCCCCCCAGTCTGCACCCCATGTCGCAGGGGGTGGACTTTCTTCCAAGACAGATGCTACTTCCACTCCCGCTCCCTGGGCACCTGGGATGCTGCCAACCGCTCCTGTGCCTCTCTAGGTGCCCTGCTCCTCCAGGTGACCAGCCTTGCTGAGCAGGTGAGAGATGACCATGTGTGGGGCAGCAGGGTGTCCTGGAGACTAGGGGGAAGCATGGAAGGGAGGAGCTGGGGAAGGGATCCAGGAGAAGAATGAGTGCAGCCTGAAAAGTGACTCCAACTGGGTTGGAGGCAATAATTAGAGGGGCCAGAAGGGTAGAGAGCCAGACTGGTCAGGGGAGGAGAGCCCTCTGAATCCCCTCTGTCTCACTGGAGACCCAGCCAAGGTGCGAGACCAAATTGCCAGCCAATCAGTGAAACAACTGGCTGCAATGGTCCCTGCCCCCACCAGTACAACAGCCCTTCCTCCTCACTGGGTCCCCTCCTGTCACACTGTCTGGAGTGGCTCACAACCATGAGTGCCAAGCTCAGGGCAGACTGTCGGTATGCAGGGCACACACCCCAAACCAGCTGTACAGTCTATAAATAGGTATCACCAACCAGGTAACAAATGTGAACTCCTGAAGCACTACACCAGTCTTGCCACAGACAGTCCCCTGGGGCTCCAGTCTATATTGCCAGCCAGGTGCGCTGGGCTAGTGACAGCTGGTTGCCATACACCAAAGATCACAAAAGATACAGGTTGCTTCCAGTCCCAAGAGACCAGTCACTTACTCCCGGTCAATTTGTACCTCAGATCTCACACCAAAGACAATGCTTGTAGCCAATCCAATTGTAAACTAAGGATTTATTAACTAGGAAAAGGAAACGAGAGAGATTTACAGGTTAAAGCAGGTATCATGTAGACACAAACGAGTTAGTCTATGGTTCCAAAAGGTGGCAGAACTGTAGTAATCTGTCCGCTGAATGTCTTTTAGGGCCAACCCAGCTTGACTTGGGGATCTCTGCTCCTTTTTCCTAGCTCCAGCCCTATGAGAGTCCAAACAGCAAAGATGAAAAACATTTCTTGTGTCCCTGTTTTATTCCCCTCTTCCGGCATTCAAGCTGACGGGATGGGCTTTCTTACACGTAGCACCTTCATGGGCGTGAGAGGGCCATCTCTTTGGATCATGACGTTCCACAATGGCCCATTTCGTTTCGACAGCCCTTCTCAATGGGCGGGGAACCATTCTGCCTGACTGGGTTCATGAGTTCAGAGCAGGCACTTTTACAATGATTAAGTAAAACTTACAAATCACCTTATAGCATGGGATACAAACAGTACCAGGGAAATGAAGGCATGCAGCAGCTTACAAGCATTCCATAGAGTCTAAACACAGCTTTACACGTCTAACAGCTGTCTTGAACAATACTGACCTACAGGGGAGCTGGTCTAGTTTCCAGCTATGTATTTGTCAGGGCTCAGCTGATGCCCGCAGCCTTGGCAAGAGCTGGCACCTGGTCTGCCAGCATCACACAGCCCATCCCCCCCTTGCTGTGCTCCCTCCCTCGGCCCCTCTCCAGTTCACCTCATTGGGCTGCAGAAGCTGCAGAGGGGAAGGCTCTTGCACTGTGGGGTGGATTGTGGGGCTGCCCCGAGTCAATTCATAGATTCATAGATTCTAGGACTGGAAGGGACCTC